AGCATTTTATTATTGTCATGTCAAAGCAAGTAACGGTAAGCAAATTCTTTAAGGTGCAATATTAGCTTGGCCTACACAGCGGATGTGGATTCTGTTATTTTCCCATATCATCAGAATCTCACCAACAGAGCCTTGCAACTTTTGGCTTTCAGGTGATTCTCTCATTCTTGCATGTCAATATTTACCTCATCAGCTGTGAACCATGTTCCTAGTATACCTCAAATATATGTCTGTAGGACTAGGAAGTATCATGTCTCAGATACAGATCGATGTATTAAAGACTTCTCGTACTAACGAATTTTCAACTGGTGCACTGGCGATCATGGCATGGTAATATATACCACGTACATTAGAGATGTTTGCAGTGTGGCTTGATTTAAATTTTAATATTTTTTATTTGAATTCAATTTAATTAGTTAGTAAAATTTTTAAATCAATTCAATTCACAATTATATGATAATTAAATTAATACAACTTAAATTCAATCGGTATAGTTTGGTCAAATTGATCGATGTTTAACATATTAAATAGATAAGATAATGTAAAAAAATTTTAAAATCAAATAGAAAACATAATTATAAAATACATTAATATCTAAATTAATAGAAACATAATAAAAGGTAAACATTATAATTAAGTTCTTACACTCATTTATAATTGTAAATATTGAAAAGACTGAAAATTTTTTTAGGCTACATCATCAGAGGCACTTAGAATAATGAAAAATGACTCCGAATTTCAAGAATAATGTAAGTAATTCTTAAATACTAAAACTAGTTTTTATTCTTTAATGCACTAATGATTCAATTTTATTTTCCAAATTTTATTAAAAGTAAATAAAATTTAACATAAATATCACTAGGATTGACTAGAATCATTCATAATCAAGATTTAAGACTCCTCAACTAAACATCCAAAAATAGTAGAATATCAAGACTAATTTTATTATATAGTTTTAAAACTTTTAAAATGATATTTCTGTAAAAATTTAGTTGGAAGAGTCAAAATATCATTTTAGGAATAAATTAAAAATTTAGGATTCTAAAAATAGAGTTGTAGAGCAGTTCCAAGGGATGGAATTGCAAGTAAATTACAAATTTAGAATTAGAGTTGAAAAGCACGATTAAAAAAAAAAATAAATTAGGGAATGTGGGATGTTTTATTTTTATTTTTTAATTAAGTTAATAGAGTTATTATCTTATAAAATAAGAAAAAAAAATTTAAAATACTACTAAAAAATATATTATATTATTTAATTAATTATCTTGTAATTGAGTTTGTTTTATAATCAGACAGTTTGAATAGTTTAAAGGTAAAACTATAAACTAAACTAATTATATCGATTTTAAATTTTTATAATTCAATCCAAATCAATTTTATATCAATTTGATTTAGTTTTTTATTAGATTAAGTCAATTTAAATCGAATCAATCAAATTGAATAAAATATAAACACCCTTATACCGCACAATGATTGTCAAAAAAAAAAAGTGTTTTGCAATTTGAATTGGGATTCAGGATGTTAGTGTTTTTCCTCCATAAAATGATTTTTATTTTATAGTTCAGATCTCTATTTTACGATTTAAACTATAATCCAAATTAAAAAATAATGCACCCTTATACTGCACAATGATTGTAAAAAACGAAAAAGTGTTTTGTAATTTGAATTGAGATTATGGAAATTAGTGTTTCTCCTCCATAAAATGATTTTTATTTTATAATTCAGATCTCTATTTTACGATTTAAATTATAATCTAAATTAAAAAATAATGCACTAATTGAAAAATGGAGAGGATATTTGGACTTTAACAGTTGACACGGACGGGCGACCATTGTTAATTTACTGATAATGGTCGAGTTGCAGGGTGAGTTTGTAAACATCGTTTGAACACATTTCGTTCCTAATCAATTGTTCTAGACTTGTCTTCAAGAGTAATGAAATGAACATATATTACCGATTAATTTTATGTTGAATGTTATCAAGGTTTCATTCCACTTGTTTGTTTTTGTTTCTGTCTTTTTTATTGT